CGCAGGTTAGGTGTGTCCGCTCTTTTCTCACGCGCGGCTGGGGCGCGCGCGCGGGGTCACGCGGCAGGGGAGGGACCCGCGGAGGCCGCTGAAGCCCCAGGTCTCGGGTGTACGCGCCCTGGGTGGTGTTCCACCCGCCTGCGGAATGGGTAATGAGGCTTTTCTCCGCAGCAACAGCATCACGAGTTTCAGCTCCCGGGAGTCCGTCGCCGCCGCCACGACATGAGTCAGGCTTTCTTCTTCGGCGCGTGGCGGAGCTCTCCTCCCCCTCGCCGCACCTGGGCTCGCCCCCTGCCCGCGCAGCCCGCGCCCCCTCAGAGGATGCCCCATCGCCGGGAGCTGCGGGGTCCGCGGAAGGCCGGTGGCTCCTCATGATAGGCGCTCCCTTTTACGCAGTGCACTTGCCGCTGCCATGCGGTCCCCTCGCCCTTCCACGGGCAGGGGCGAGCCAGCCGGGCAGATGCTGCAGCTGTTTGCAGTTAACTGCCTAAGCTCGCCTCTAGAGTGGGAGCGCTTGCAATCCATTCTTACCTGGAGGGAAGCTGTAGCCTGGCCCAATAAATAACCGACCTCAACAGGTGGAAATTTTCTCCAGCAGGGATATCTTTTCGTTTACTTGTCCAGACTGTAGCCCCCATGGGTTTGACTCAAAAGACAAAGTGGCTCAGCCATGGTGGCAACCAGAGTGCAATGATAAATGAAGACTACCTGTTAGGGTTAGAAAAGGAAAAGAACCATCTGCAAATCCAGTTTTTAAAAAAAGGTGGGGGCGGGGGGTCTGAGCATAGTTCTACAGAAGCAATGTTAGGTTTGATTGAAGGCAGTTTATTAGAAGTAGCTTCCCTGGCATTACACGTCAAAACATTCTAGCTCCAAGCATTTTTTACTAAAGTGAGAATGTACTTCTCTCCAGGAATTAAAAAGCAAAGTAATATAGAAAACCCTAGAGAGGAATGTTTGTTTTTTCAGCCTAACTTGTTGAGGATCTAAACGTTTATAGTTAGACCTCTGATTCAGTAAATCTCACAGAATTACAGATCTACAATCGTATTTCAGGAGCTTGTTAAAACAAATAGCAATGTTTTGATAGGTACCTAGTTGTCGATTCAACATGTTACTTCTAGGTTTCTCTAAACTTTCCCCTCATTCCATCCTCCAAAAGGTTGAGAATGTCACCATTCTATCACTGAATAGAAATGCACCCTCAACATCCCTGTATAGCCTGTATCAGAGCTATGATATATTGTTTTTTCTGTAGTCTCCCTCACTAAAGCTAAGAGGCAGGACATTGTTTTTAATATGGAGCTCTGTGATAGGTACAGAGTAGGTGCTCAGAAATATTGAAAGTGATATGGCAATAAAAATCAAATACATTTGAAAAGATCAGACTTGTTTTATGACATTCGTGAATTAATATGTGAATGATCGGTTTTTAACATAACCATGGCCATTTGTGTATTTTACAAAAATAATCATTTCTTAATACCTCAAGGGCTTTTGTTGCAAGTGATAATGCCTGGTTCATGGCCGCCATTCATTGTTGAAATGCAACTCTGGCATGCTTTTTCAACAGTTTTTGAATGGAAAATGGAAACTGTCCTAACGAATTCAAACTGCAATGGAATGTAGAAGGGCAAAATGTGTTTCTCTGGGCTACAGTGTGAAAGAAAATGCTCTGGATCTCTCAAAATGTTGCCTTAGGTCAAAGTTTTAAATTACCCCAAACAGCAGCTCAGCACCCCTCGGGCCACCTAAATACCCTGCATGATTGTGCTGACAGGATTTGAAGCAGAAGAAACACATAAAATGAAGTCTTCCAAAGTTGACCGAATGAGTTGGTGAGATAACCCTGTAAAAGCAGGTACTTCTAATAACTAGTAGTAATGGGTGTTGTTGTTTGGGGCTGTTTTGATGGGGGTAGGGGGCTATTCTATTTCTTTTAGAAAGAAGTTTTCCTTGTTTTAACTTTTCCAGGATAAAGTAAGACATAAGAAAATACAGTCTTTTGAAATGTGTTTCACTTTTGTCTGCCATATCACCTTCAAATTCCTGGTTGGGCTGCATCAAGTCCCACTAAGATAAGAAGAGTAACTCTACAATTTTGGAAACCTGAGTTTGAAAACATCTCTCTCTCTGTTCTCCAGTTGCTAACTTCCGTGACCTGCAATACATGAATACAAGTACATAAAAACAAGCAGAAGCACTTGAGCAACCAGGTATGGTTATACCACCACCTTTTAATAAAAAAAAGTATGGATTTTTTTTACACTAATATCAAATGCCTACTGCTATGTGCAATGAAGTCATTAATTCCTTTGAATCCAGTACTTAGTTATCCTTTGCCTTTTGAAATACTGCATTTCACCTGTTTACATTCTGCAATTATAGTTCTGAATTACTCTCTATTGATGTAAAGTTTAGTCTGTGTTCACGTAAATCTCACTATTGTTACATTGCACATCAGCATGTATATTTGGCTATGTTTAGAGCTTTTTTCCTACCATAAAATAGAAGACTTAGTGAATATTATGTCTCAGTTTACATATTTGTGAGAACTGTGAAATAGGTTGTATTTAAAACTAAGTAATTCTCCAAAAGGAACGCCCTAGAAGAACAGGAAGGGAATACTTGCACTCAGAATGGCTGTGAGTGCAAAGATAAATACTAACGAGAAATGTGGGCAGAAAATATGCCACTGATCCACTCCAGTAATGGCTAACCAGCGCTTCAGTCATGCAGTAATTACTTTTCTGTAATTTCTGAATGTCATCTGAAAAAAAAAGTCAATTTTTAAAAATACTGTTATAAGTATGACAAAAACATTTTAATATGTTTTTGTACAGGGATATTATAGCTTTACGAATCAGTTTGCTCTCTAGAAAATTCTTTAAATGAGACCAGGAGCAGTATGTGCTGTTTGGCTTTTGTAAATTGCACAAAATACTTATTTTGAAACTTTTCATTGAAATTTCAATGATTACAGCTTAGCTTATAACTGATTAAATTTTGCAGGGTTTGTTAAATTTCCAACATAAATATGTTTCTGGTCAGCTAAACCATTTTATATGCTTCAAGAGATACGCGTATGAAACAACAATTCATGAATATCATAAC